ACACAGATGTGCACAGGTAGTACACACAGATGTGCACAGGTAGTACAAACAGATGTGCACAGGAGGTACACACAGATGTACACAGGAGGTACACACAGATGTACAGGAGGTATACAAAGATGTACACAGGTAGTACGCACCGATGCACACAGGAAGTACGCACCGATGCACACAGGAAGTACACACCGATGCACACAGGAAGTACGCACCCATGCACACAGGAAGTACACACCGATGCACACAGGAAGTACGCACCCATGCACACAGGAAGTACGCACCCATGCACACAGGAAGTACACACCGATGCACACAGGAGGTACACACCGATGCACACAGGAGGTACACACCGATGCACACAGGAGGTACACACCGATGCATACAGGAAGTACACACGATGCACACAGGAAGTACACACCCATGTGCACAGGAAGTACACACCGATGTACACAGGAGGTACACAGAGATGTGCACAGGAGGTACAAACAGATGTACACAGGAAGTACACACCGATGCACACAGGAAGTACACACCCATGCACACAGGAGGTACACACAGATGTGCACAGGTAGTACGCACAGATGTACACAGGTAGTACACACAGATGTACACAGGTAGTACACATGAAGACCAGTCAAGAACCTGCTGCGAGCCGTCTGTGAAGCTTGTTTTTATCCTCTTATCAGTTCAGCCGAGCTCACACTCTGAGGTGTCCTTGAAGTGACAGCTGCACGCGGCCGCCTTATACAGCTCCTCATTCAGCTTTCTAATAACCCAAACATATGGTTCATGGGCAGTTAACATTGTCAGCCATAGTAAGAAAAACATCCACACCCTTGGAGCAACAATCCCCTAACAGTTCACTGCTCAGTGAACACTCTGAGGTTGTTTAAAGAGAGCGTATTTCATTTTGTAAGAGTGAACACAGCCACCAGTGGCTCTACAATGGTTTGGTGTTGTCTTACATTTAGGACAAACATCTGTTGATCGTCGTGGTTCTGTTGAGAAGACACGTTGACATCTTGTGGGAGTCCTCCAGAGACTGAGAAAACTAGTACTGATATCGTGATTTTAACCATATTTATTCTTGTACTGTGTTTTTGTCCCTCGTGGGTTGCCACAGCGAGCGCACTCGGACAAAAACTGGGAAAATAATTTTTGCCCTTCCTGATGCAACCATTGACCACCACAGCCCCTGTGGGGAGCACAGAGCTGCCAATTAGGGTGCAGGGGGAGCAGATGGGGAGGGTAAGTGTGGTTAGGAGCCTTGCTCAAGGGTCTGGAGTTAGGCAATTTCACCTATCCCACTCAAATTTTGTTCTACTTGTCAAGAGATTCAAACCAGCAACCTCTTGGTCGCAAGCTTGCACCACCTCTCCCCCGTACTAATAAAGTACTTTAGTAGTATGGGGGAGTGGTGGCACAGAGGTTAGAGAAGATGGGCCAGTGATCGAAAAGTCGCAGGTTCAACTCCCGGTACCGTCAACATCAAAATGAGGTGGAAAAGGTGAAACACCCACACCTGCCTCCACCCACACCTGCCTCCACCCTGGGCCCCTGAGCAAGGCACTCAACCCCCACCATCTACTCCCTAAACAGGTCTCTCTAGAAAATGAGTTCTTGTGACTCAGTGAGACTACCTGGATAAATAAAGAGTAAATGAAGAAAAAAAAAAGTGCTTAACTCATCGACACTAAGTTTTTATACAGTGGGGTTTAACCTGAGCAGGCCTGTATTTAATACAAGTTGATGTCTTCACTTGTTTCAGACAAAACTCTCCCGTTCATTTGCTTAAAATCATCACAAAGCTCAATAATAAGAGTAGAGAAGCAGAGGATGTGACAACGAAGGCTGCAGGAAACATCACAAACTGAAAATATGAAATGTTTCTTCTGCACCGATGATCTGTGCTTCTCCTGGACTTTAAACTGACTGAAAATAGAAAATCCTGGGCAGGGCCCGGCACCACGAGGACAATGTTGTTTTATACAGCTCCTCCTTGAATTGCCACCTTATCGTGGTGGAGGAGTTTGTGCACCTGAATGATCCTAGGAGTTATGCTACCAGGGGCAATTACATTTGCCCCTGGTAGGGTCTCTAAAGGCAGACTGGTTCATGGTGACAGGCCAGACAAAGAGCTATTCAGAAGACTTTTGATGGACATCACAAATCAAGGAACTCAGTGTCTCTTGCCCGGACGTAGGTTACTGGGGCCCCACCCGGAGCCAGGCATGGGGGAGGGGTTCATCGGCAAGCACCTGGTGACCGGGTCTCTACCCATGGGACCCGGTCGGGCTCAGCCCAAAGGAGCAACATGGGTTTGCCTTCCCGTGGGCCCAACACCTGCAGGCGGGGCCATATGAGTCGGGTTCATGACGCCATGGGCAGTGGCCGAAGGCGGGGGCCTAGGCGCTCTGACCCTGGCTTATCAAAGCTGGCTCTTGGGACATGGAATGTGACCTCTCTGGTGGGGAAGGAGCATGAGCTCCAGAGGCAGCTGAGGAGTACCGGAGGGCCAAACGGTCTACAGCCTTTGCTGATGCTGAGACAAAAGCTCGGATGTGGGAGGAGTTTGGTGAGGCCTTGGATAACGACTCTTGGTTGGCTCCGAGGAGATTCTGGCAAACCATCGGAGGAGAGGAAAGCAGCTCTTTACTAACATTGTGTTCAGTGAAGGTGGGGTGCTGTTGACCTCAATCAGTGATGTCGTCAGGAGGTGGAAGGAATACATCTCGGACATTCTCAATCCCACTGGCACATCTTCCATGGAGGAAGCGGAGTCGGGGGCCTTCGGAGTTGGTATGTCCATAACCGTGGCTGAGGTTGTGGTCGTTAAAAAGTTCTGTGGCAGCAGGGCTCCGGGGGGTGGATGAGATTCGCCCAGATTTCCTTAAGGTTCTGGATGTTGTGGGGCTGTCTTGGTTGACACGCCTTTGCAACGTCACATGGACATCGGGAGCAGTGCCACTGGATTGGCAGACTGGGGTGGTGGTTCACCTCTTCAAAAAGGGAGATTGGAGGGTATGCTGCAATTATAGGGGCATCACTCTCCTTAGCCTCCCTGGTAAGGTTTATTCAGGGGTGCTGGAGAAGAGAGTCCAATTGTAGGTCAAACCTCAGATACAGGAGGAACATGCGGGTTCCGTCCTGGCCGTGGAACAGTTCTTCAACCTCACTAGGGTCCTCGAGGGGTCATGGGCGTTTGTCCAATCCAGTTTACATGTGTTTTGTGGACTTGGAGTAGGCATTTGACTGTGTTCCTCGGGGTACACTGTGGGGGGTGTTCTGTGAGTACAGGATTGGGGACTTGTTGTTATGAGCTGTTCAGTTCCTATACAAGCGGTGCGAGAGTTTGGTTCTCATTGCCGGTAGTAAGTTGGACCCATTCAGGGTGGGAGTTGGACTCCACCAGGACTGCCCATTGTCACCGATTCTGTTCATAACTTTAACGGACAGAATTTCTCGGTGCAGCCAGGGGGCAGAGGGTTTCCAGTTCGGTGGTCTCAGGATTCCATCTCTGCACTTTGTAGATGATGTGGTCCTGTTGGTGTCATCGTGCAGTAATCTTCAGCTCTCACCAGAGCAGTTAGCAGCCGAGTGTGAAGCAGCTGGGATGAGAATCAGCACCTCCAAATCTGAGGCCATGGTCCTGAGCCAAAAAAGGGTGGATTTGCTCTCTTTGGGTCGAGGGTGAGGTTCTGCCTCAAGTGGAGGAGTTCAAGTATCCCTGGGTTTTGTTCACAAGTGAGGGATGAATGGAGCTGAGATTGACAGTGCAGCATCTGCAGTATCGTAGACTCGGTGCCGGTTCATTGTGGTGAAGAGGATGCTGAGCTGTAAGGAGAAGCTCTCTGTTTACTGGTCAGTCTACGTTCCTACCCTCATCTATTGTCATGAACTCTGGATAGTGACGGAAAGAATGAGATTGTGGATACATGCGGTTGAAATTAGTTTCCTCTGCAGGGTAGCTGGACTCTCCCTTAGAGGTAGGGTGAGAAGTTCAGTCATCCAGGAGAGACTGGATGAGTAGTACCACTGCTCCTCCACATCAAGAGGAGCCAGCTGAGGTGGTTCAGGCATCTGGTAAGGATGCCCCCATGGCGCCTCTCTAGGGAGGTGCTTCAGGCATGGCTAACTGGGAGGAGACCCCGAGGAAGACCCAGGACACGCTAGAGAGACTATGTCTCTTGTTTGGCATGGGAACACCTTGGAATTAAAGTTGCATTCGGGCCCAAAAAATCTGATCCGACCAGGCTCCAGCCCACCGAACCCACCCGACCTGATGAATTAACAGTACAGTAGTCCATCGTTTATAGCGGGGGGTTCATACCCTGAAGCCCCACAATAAGCGAAAAACCACGAAGAAGGGATATTAGCACAAGTAGTAAGTGTGTGTATATATATATATATATGAATATATATAGGCATTTTAAATCCTTCCCACATTCTTGCAATATTCTAAATGTTTCTAAACTCTAAAGCTCTAAGAGCACAGAATGTTATGATTTCAGCTCCCTGCCTCATCTGCTCTTTGCTGCCTGCCAGCTGTTTTGGCCACGCCCACTTTCCCGCTCTGCATGGTGAACAGCTGATCAGCTGCAGCAGGAAGCTTATCTTGCAGTGTGGCTGCAGAGGTGCAGCGGGACAGGAGGAAGCCTTTTCTGCAGCTCTGGGCTGCACAACTGTGCAGCAGGTGCTAAATAATTTAAAATAATTTATTTTAAATAAAAATTCTATGCCAATCGTGTGGCTCTACCATCAATCAGCCAATTGAGTGTCATGTCCAATCTTATTTTGAAAAACCGAGTCAGAGCGAGTTCGCGATAAACGACCCGCGAAGTAGCGAGGGACTACAGTAGTTACAGGTCCGAATCAGAAAACCCCCTTGATGTTTTTAATTAAGCTTTGACTGCTTATATAGTCATTAACGGTCAGGGAAGCGCGACTGAATAAAAGGGGCAGAAGATCGGAGCTGAGGGGGTGTTTGTCCTTTCATGGCTGTCAACGCGCATTAAATCCCTGCTTCTGTCTGCATTCTGCATTATTCAGACATGGACCCTGCTCTGACATGTCTGCTTTGGGATCTCACCGGTCCGGGTCGTCGGCCGCGCACGTCCGCTGAGTGCAGCGGCTGAACGTGCATTTGGGCGACGGATCGCTTCCTGGCAGAAGCCTACCGGTAGCCCCATCTGAAGTGTAACTGAACTTCATTTGACCTTTTTCCAAGACCGGTCAGCTCGCGGTGAAACGGCGGCGTGCGGCTGGTGATCGTATGGCAAGCCATGTTGCCATATAATTGGATCATGGGCTGATCCGCTGATGCAATCAAAAGCCCGACACTGACCCGGCCCGCCCATCCAGCACATTACCATGGCCTGGTCCAAAGTCGGGTCGGGCCCAGATTAGAAATGACCGCTGAGTCCTCCCAGAAGAGCTGGAAGAGGTGGCTGTCTGGACCTCCCTGCTCATGATGCTGCCCCCCAAGCCCCGACTTGGGAACAAGCGGAAGATGATGGATAAATGGATGGATGTTTGAAACAGCCTCACATCCGTCAGCAACTGGTGAAAAAAGTTGTCTTTATCTGGCGCCCTGTCCAGCGCTCCTAAGCAGACGTCCAGAGTGCAGCTGTGTGACGTTGAGCAGCCGGATTATCTCCCTGCTGCTACAGGAGTATGGACAGAAAGACGTCGATCACAACCGGTAAACATGAGAGGGGTTAATCATCACTCGCCGACCAAACACAGGTGATAACACTTTGTCCGTCTGTTAGAAGAAAAGATCCTAGACCACTGGGCAGATGTTAACGACAGGATCACGGAATAAACATGTGGAACTGATCAACTTTCACAACCCATTTCAAAATGGCCACCACAGCAACATCTGGCGTGGCAGTAGCTGAGAGTCCTCCCTAACACTGACGCCTTGTTAATCTCATGACTCGAGTCAATTCTCATCAGATTACTTCATCTGAACCTCTGGATTATAGGCCCTCCTGTAAGGCTCAGTCCAGGTGTGTGGCCCCACTCACCACTTCCACGTGGGGCAGTGATGGACCAGGTGATCTCCAGCTGCTACGAACTGAAAGAGACAAGCAGCACCAAGAACCGTCAGAACCTGTCCACACACAGAGGGGGGCTTCAGGTAAAAGTGCTCACCTCCTCAGGTGTGATCACTCCAGTCTCCTTGAACTTGGATTCCTGTGGAGAGGAAAGCACCAGCGGCGTCAGCGCCATAACTCTCAGACGTTTCATGTGATGTGACCAGACAAGCTGAAGTTTACCTTCAGGACCGGGGTCAGGAACTCCGCCACCCCCAGAGCCGTGCCCTTCACGGTGTTGATCACGTTCTGCATGCTGGAAAACCCTCCCGACTCCCAGCGCCTCCTGACAACAACCAACTCCAACTACGAGACGCAGCTTCCAGGCGGAAAACAGCAGAGCGGTCACATGACGCGGACAAACACTTCCGGGAGTCGTAGTCTCGCGAGAACTGCGATGAGAGGTCGCGAGCAGGCTAATTAACGGCCATAACTTTAGTGTTAGACTAATCTTCGTGCGTGAAATATAGCCGAACCCCCCACGCTGGCGTGCTCTTTAGCTGGTCAGAATTTTAGCCTGTGTGACGAAGCTGTGCCAACAAAATCAGGTTTTTATCGGAGCGCGAGCGGAGTTCTGAATGGCGGTCAGACCACTTCCTGGTCTCAACATCTTCTCATTTAAATGAACAAAACGCGTGAACGGAACTCGTTTAGTGCTCATTTGTCTGTTTCTCGTACATATAAAGCAAAGAGGAGAAAATACGGAGGAAAGATTTAAAGAAACGATCACGACGTCATGACGTCACGTTAAGCGGCGTGTGACGTCATCAGTCTGGTCGTTCAAAGTGTGACAGTCAGCGCGTGCGGCTCTGCAGTGACCGGACAGAAACCAGAGCTTCAGCCTGGGGGGTTCGGACTGCGCAGAACCATGATCCGGACACTGAGGCCCCTCCGCCGGGTTCTGAGCCCAGACCAGACCCGACCGAGCAGGTCCAGCTGCAGCAGTCCTACTGGGTCAGGGCGGAGCTGGGTGAGACCCCGCGGGTTCGACACGGGTCTGAAGACTTTCAACAGCCTCACGAAACGAACAGAACCTCTCGTCCTGACCCGGGAAGGAGTAGCGACCTGGTACAGAACCACCGCCTCCCCACAGTCCGCCTTACAGTCTGGCTGCTGTAACAATGTGCCGTTCCCTCAGGTACAGCTGCGGACCCACTGTGTACGACCACGCGCACCTGGGCCATGCATGGTAACTATGGCAACGCTCACCTGGAGCTGACTGTGATGCAGCGAGGCTGGCTGACTGAATGACTGACTGATTGACTGACTGATTGACTGACTGATTGACTGAATGACTGACTGACTGACTGAATGATTGACTGACTGATTGATTGATTGATTGACTAACTGATTGACTGACTGACTGAATGATTGACTGACTGATTGATTGATTGACTGACTGACTGACTGATTGACTGGCTGATTGACTGACTGAATGACTGATTGGCTGACTG